ACAACCCTAAACCTAAACTTGTTAACTTTGATCACTTGATCTTTTAGGAGTCTCATCTAGATGGTCCCCTAGATCCACTAGTCCTAGCCTAGGGTTTAGATAAGACTAGTACATAGAGGATCCAAATGGAGATTTCATTGGTCCATAGCTCAAATAGGTGGGTTGGCACCTCAATTTAACCAAAATACCTAACTTAGCCTTTTGCCCTCCAAATCTACCCAATTTACCAAAACACCCCCAAACCCTAACTTTGACCAAAATTCCCAATTTCATCCAAAATACCCAAATTTGTTCAAAAATCATCTCAAACCATTTGAAACCACCCAAATTACCCAGAAGCTCCCAAAATTGCCAAAATGACCAAAATACCCCCAAAATTGCCAAAATTATCAAAATACCCTTGGTGACCAAACTGTCCCAAAACCTTCAAAATCATTTAAAATGTCCCCAAAATCAATTTAGACCCTTCAATTGAACCCAATTTGACCCATTTTGATCAAAATCCCCAAATTGCCCTTAAAGACCCAATTACCCCAATTCACCCCAAATGTCCACCAATTGGGTTCTAATTCTTCCCAATTTTAATTCAAAACTCAAATTCATCATGAAAAAACTCAATTCAGAACAAATCCCAACCCAATTGGCCCATATTTTGAGCCCAATTTCACCCAAATCCAAAGCCCCCAATTTTGCCCCAATTTAGTCATGTCTCCAAATGTCACCAAATTGAATGCTCATATCCCAAAATTGACACCCAATTAATGTTGAGAACTCTTCATAACATCCTCTTATACCATTTTGAACCCTTAATTTGGACTTAGCCCAACTCTAGCCTAACCTAAACCCAAGTTTAACTGAACATCCCCAAATTGATCAAATTTTCAAAATCCTTCAAATTGACCCTCCAAATCAATTCAAAATCACTCCAAATCTTTTCTAAACTCTTTGTGAAAATCATCTATATCATATTAATTAATAAATTGAGTCCAATGTTATAGTTAGCCCAAGCTAAACCCAACTTCAAGCCAATTTGACCCTAATTGAAACGATGTACCAAAATTGATCAAGCCATGCCAAATTGATCAAGCCAAATCTTCTACAGCCAACTTTTGGACCCTAGTGATACCTAGCCCACTCTAGATGAGATATGGACTAATTGTCCATTGATTTAAGGGATTTCACCCCATTTATGTCCTAACTCAAACTATCATTGCCATTAGAAGTTAACCATCATTAAGCACCCCTGATCTCCCCGAGCCCAGAAGTGACTGAACTCTGGCCTGCCACCACCTCAGCCACTGGAAACAGCCATCCCAAGGGAGTCCCAAATGGACAAAACCCAAAATTAAACCTCCCTGAGTTGGTTAAGTCCCATTGGCCATTAGAGTCTTTCTTCCCTCCACCTCGGCAAGCTTTAGCACCTAATTCCCAGCCTTGAGCTCCATTAGGAAGCCATGGCTATAAATGAAGCTCTCCATGGCCAAAGGGGAGAGAGCTTGAAGCCTTGGGGAAACTCTGCCAAAATCTCACCAGAGCCTCTCCAAACCTTCCTAAGTTCAACCCCTTGCTTTCAGCCACTCACAGTCACTCTACAAAGTCCATTTCTTCACTGAAATTTGTCCCAAAGCCAAGACAAATTTCTCCACACCTCCACAGTCCACTAAACTCCAATTAATTATGCACACACCATCCCCTGAGTGAGAGGAGTTGATTCCCCATAAAATCCCCATCCTAAATAGCCTCTAACCCTCTAACCTAGCTCTAGACTCTAGATCAACACCTAAAAATGACCTTGATCAAAATCATACCCAGACAATTCATCAAGGCCTAGGACTTGATATGGAGGTTCATTGGATTCATCAAAAGCTGTTACAACCATTTGATTGAGGCCACCCCTCTCAGGTAAAGGTATAAAGCTTCAACCGTAAACCGAGCTTCATTTGATTCTTCATACATATTTACTGTATCTAATACCGTATAAACTGTATGGATGTGTTCGTCTTGAGTATATGAAGGTGTAGGAACAAACTCGGAGTGATTTGATTGAGTCTAGCTCGAGATCTTAAGGTTTTAGTGTGAACGGCTTACGGGTTAGGTCATTTGAGGACGATGAGCGGATGTCGTCCGATCGCGCGTGTATCAGAGACGGTCGTGATGGAGCCAGAAGAGCGGATAGAACGAAAAGGCAGACTGACGAGGCGGCTACGTATTTGGCGGTGTCGTATAATGGAGAGCCGTATGGAGACTTCGGAGTTGCCTATGATTGCATGGCGTCGCGTGTTTAAGTAGAAAAATCTGGATTTTTCTGATTTATTTAAATGCCAAATATTTGAGAAATCATAACTATGTGTAAAAAATTCATAAAAATAAAATAAAAAATACTCTCTTGCTCAGTGAATAGAGGTGAATAATGTGGTTTAAAAATAAAAATTATTTGCTTACTTTTTGATTTTTAATTAATTAAGTACTCTTTGTGGTATTTCAATTCACTATGGCTAAGCCTTGCTCACCATAGCTTGAAATTTTGGGGATTTATTCCTCATGACAGAGGCTATGTTCTATATAAAAAAATACCCATCACCCAAATATCTATATGAGAAAATTTATAGCCGTATTCAATAATTGAGGCAGAATAATTAGCCGAATTTGAACTCAGCTAACATGATGAGTTAAGTCGTGAATCAACCAACTTCTTATAAATAAAATAATAAGAATGGATTGAGATAGTCAAGTTTGAATAGTGGCTTTATATTTATACTAACAATTTTTTTCTAATTTAGAATATTTATTTAAATAATACTCAAATATCTATGTCATATCAAATTTATCATTGATATTAATTTCTTCAAGGAAATGCACATGCACTGTGATAAGATTGAACTCAAAAATGACATTTTGGATTTTCATTTGTCTTTAGGCATGTTGTTCAGCTCGGAAAATGTGAGAATTGAGTAGAAAGATAAAAAAAGGGAAGGTAATAATATTTCTCGAAGTAGAAGAAAAGAAAGAAGAAGGATCCCATTATAGGTGTTCTGCCGTGTATCTATAACTTCTTGAGTACTTTTTTCAGTAGTATAAGGATTCGCTTGGGCCTTGTTTTTCACGCAGCGCAACTTTAAACCACGAAGCTACGCTCCTCTTTGTCATTTGGATATTGTGTTCACGGCCACTCGCCGCTGAAATAAGCGGAACGCTGGTCGCGGGATCACACCCCACAGTCGCGCGTTATCGAGCAACTTTTACCTCCTTTGCTCCCTGCGTTATCAAGCCTTGGCCATAACTTCTTCGATTCTTGCGAGAAGACTTTCCAGGTGTCGCCCAAGGACCACACTGACAGCATGTCCTCCAGCACCGACCGATCACCGAAGAAGCTCCACTCCGCCACCACCGACGGGAGCTGCCAGCTAAATGTACTTGGAAAGACAAGACAACTGGTTCACAAGGTTTAAGGCGTTCAGGGAAAGTGAGGGCGGATCTTGGAAGATGGAAAAACTCTACGCAAAGCCGAAGAAAGGTTTATAGCTTGGCTAGATGGATTCACAGTTGGTGGAAGTTATGCAGATCTTTAGATGATTCAAAGCGGCGATGCTGAGGAATGATTTTGGAACCTGCGCAAATCTTCTCTCCCGGCTAAAGGTATTTTCTCTCTTCTGGAAAACTTCAACTCTACGCCAGTTTCATTTTTTCTGCGGTTTAAGGGTTCTTGAACCAATGGATAATTAGACTAGTCTATTTTGATAAAGCGTCCATAGGCATCAGATGGATTTGTTTCAAGAAAGTGCTATGTGAATTGCTAGCTAAGTTCATGCAGTTCTGAGTTTGTTGTTGTTAAGATACTCACGAGTGCAAAGACGAATGGTTTATTTCTTTTACGGCCCGTTTAGACATCGTTCTAGCAAAGTTTATTATGGTGGAGTATCTGAACTTTGGTTATAGTTTGGAATAAATTTCTGTTTCTGAAGTATTAAATATGTGGTTGTCACATTTCTGTTATAAACAACTTTATTAAACAAGGGCAGAATTGTCATTTTTTCAGAAACAGTTGCGACACAGCTGTTTTCGCACAGCTGCAACAAACAGAGAGTGAGCTTCCCCGCAACAACTTTTGGGGGCAGCACAAATACGCTGAAAAGCTGACAAGCTGCAGCTGCACCAAACAAACCCTAAGATTTAACTAAAATTCATTAAAAAATATATAAAAGTATAAGAAAATTCATGTTGTTCTGGTTCTAAAAACCATATAGTCTTTCGCAATTGAGCCCTTATGTCTCTTGTAACTGTGCCGTAGTTTCCAAGGGAGAACTATGAGCTAATAATGGCTAGGTCAACAGTTCACATTATATAGATTAACTGAAGGCAGATTGCTTTGTTTTTTTTTTTAAACTATAGTGGCGAATTAGCATAACTAGGGTGAATTTTATCAGATTTGCCCGACTTCTTTATGGAAGTGGGTCTGATTTAAAGTTATTGTTTGGGTTGTGCTTGGGCCGAATTCGAGTCAAGGCCCAAAAAGGTGCACTTGAGATAAAACTAAAAACGAAAAAAAAAATTAGGTTTAGATACATATAATAAAATTTTATGATATGTATGAAAATCCCCTAACTCTTAATCATAGAAGTGCAATAACATTGATATCGAACAATGAGAAATTCGAGAATAAACAAAATTTTCAAGAGATAAAGTTTGGAACTAATTATTTTAATTTTAAAATTTTATTTTAATAATATTTCAAGGAAAATTGTATAAAGACTACCCAAAACTTAGTATTTACAAATCAATCATTCACTTTTATCCTTTTTTTCAAATTCTCACACAAGTATTCAAAATTGTTGATAAAATATCAACCCATTTTTTTTCTTTTATCAAATTTTTAATAGCTTAATCATAGCACACATAAATACATAGATTTAATAATTTTAAGAAAATGATTTGTAAATATCAATGTCTTAGATGATCTATATGTAATTATCCCATCAGAATAATGGATAGGGTTCGAGTTCCTCGATTTTATTTTGTAACGAAGCGAACGCCCGGATACTGCCGAGCGGACTCCACTCGAGTTTTTGCAATCGCTTCCGTCGTCTGCTTTTCAATTCCTTGCTTCTATTCCACGCCTCAATGAACCTAATCTTACCCGCGGTTTCGCCTTCTGCTGCTCAGTTCTCTCTCATCGCCGCTTCCCTCTCCTCCTTCCCTCGCCTCCGTCTAGTCTCCACCGTATTGCCCCCTAAACTGTATCACCTCCCTTTTTCATCCCCTTCCTCTCCCTCGCACCGATCCCCACCATCGATGAGTTGGCTAGGGAAACTTGGTTGGTTAGGGTTCGGAAATCGCGCGGGGCTTTCATCTATGGATACTTCATCGGCGGCAATCGCTCAGGGGCCGGACGACGACGTGCCAGAACCGGGGCAACAGTTTGCGCAGTTTGGCGCCGGATGCTTCTGGGGCGTCGAGCTGGCTTTCCAGAGGGTACCGGGCGTTACGAAGACGGAGGTCGGTTATAGTCAGGGCATGGTGCATAATCCGACTTACGAAGATGTGTGCACTGGGACGACGAACCATTCGGAGGTCGTGCGAATGCAGTATGATCCCAATTCGTGCCGTTATGAGGATCTGCTAGATGTTTTCTGGGCTCGCCACGATCCTACTACTCTCAATCGCCAGGTAATCTTATTTTTGTTGTTGAATTCCATACCGTGCTGCTTAACTGCGTAAGTCCCTGAATTTTCATTTGGGCATTTTAATTCGAGTAATAAATTGAAATTTGGTGCTTTCTAGAGCTTGAAGGAGTGAAACATGAACTGTGGAATATTTTGAATTTTTTTATGTTTGAAATATGTAAAAGATGGGTAAGACTTATTTGGGATTCGGTGGCTGCTTTTCAAACCGAGAGGCGACCGTTGATGAGTGTATTTTTCCACACGATATTCTGATAAGTTTTTTCTGACGTATATAATTATAATCTTTCTTCATACTATAAATATTGTAAATAAATTAATGATAGCAAGTGATTGCAAATTTTGATGTTTCACTTTGGTTTGAGCTCAGGTGTTGAAGGTCTGTTCGATTTTGTCCACACAGAAGAATGCAGTTGCAAAATATCATTTGATTAATAAAAATTTTGATTATATCTATTAAGTTCAATATCTAAGTTATCCATACAATCTCCAATAAACTGAGGGTCTTATTAGTTCACCTCGATAAATAGCATGTAAAAATCTTGAAAGAAGCAACAACTATCTTTCTACTTCAACCTTGTGTAAATGAAGCAACTTTAACATCCCTGGATGATTTTTGCTAGAATGTTATACACGCTGAAGGGGTTTACTCTGGGCTTTTTTATGAAATTTTGTTTGTTAAACTCATTTTAACATGTCAGAGAGATGCCAAGGCTTACAAAATGCACAACATAATGGATTTTAAATGCATGTTTTGTCCTTAAGTTTTGGGTTATGACTGATTGACTTTAAAGTAATTAGCATGCAATCATTGTATTTTTGCTCTTTACATGGAACCTTTCTTTTCAGCATTAATAAAATTACGTACCTAGTTTCACACTAATTTTTTTGGAGTGTCATGCACTAATCATTAAAATGATGAATATATACAAATATAATGCCTACCTTAAAAAGTGAACTTTCAAACATGTGTGTGTCTATAATTCATTATCAAACCTTTGAAAATTTGACAAAAGTGAAAATTAGGTGTTTTATTGTGCTAGTTTTGTAAATATGCAAGTTTTCGGTTTTACTCACAGAATTGCCCCCGTTTCTAAGTTAGAAATTTGAAGAACATGATCATGCATTTAAGAAGGTCGATTTACTCTTTTCTTTGTAGTGATAGAATTAATTGATATTACCTTAGCAGATCCATATATGACTTTAAGCTTTAAAAGCATGACTTCACAGGTTAAATAGCTTCTTTTCTCCATTCGAAGAAGGTTATTTGGAAATGTAATGTATTTAGTGTTGATTATTTTTTTGATCTTGCATCACTTTCTTGTTTAGACATTTTGGGGTTTTGCTACTCATAATATTTATGTTGAATCAAATTTAAGCAGGTCAGCAATTATTTTTTGTAGTTTTTTATTTATGATAGTGAATTCATTGTGCACATTTTTTTCTCTCATTGTCACTCCATTAATTCTAGTTGTCTTAGTTTTGTTTTTTTTTTGCCCAAACTTTTTTCTATTATAGCCATGCTTGTGTTAATTCTAGATGAATGATCAATATTCAATAATCTGATGAAAATTTTGAGCTAACACAGTTTCCTTTTCTAACGTATTTATTTATTTGTATTTTATGTTACATTGTAAGTGCTTCTTTCTGCATGGTCTTATTACCATCAAAGAATATAGTGTGACATATTTTCGTTAGCATTGTAATGTTTGCATTTTTTCCATCTCTTATTGGGGAAAAAGCTTTCCATAAAAGACACATGACAATATTACTTGGTTTGACAAGATTGTTTTGCTAACTTTCGAGGCTGCATAAAGAAAATTTTCACCTCAATTAAGAAAGATATACTATATTTTCCACTGTTTAATTCTGTAAATATTGATAGAAATAGATTAAAGGACCAAACAATGAAGTAAAAGAATTGGATCAGTTGATATTAAAAATTCATCATTGTTTTCTCTATTAATGGAAACTGGATATTTTCCATCACCACTAATCTTACCTTTGACACCATTTTACTTTTTTAACACCACCACACTTGCCTATCACACCACCTCATCTGCCCCAGCCCGTGGAAATTCATCACAATCGTCAACAAAAGACTATTTTTTTCTCTTTTTACTTGGCCATCCACCTGTCTTTCTCTATATTCCCTTTTCCTCCATTATTTGTTTTTAGGCACTTTATTTTTCTGCTATGTCATTCTGTCTATTTTTTTCATCTTTTACAAATATCAAAGGCATTAAATCTTTTTCTTATGGAAAAAACACATTTTTTTGGTGGAGTTATCAATAGTGACATAGTAAAGTAAAGCATCAGGGATACCATGACGATGGTTTTCAAACATTATTATGCATTGGCTAAAATCACTTTTGTTTTTTTTTTTTGGAAGCATTTGAAAGAAAACTAATCTTTTTCTATTTTCCAATGGTGCAGTCTTCTTAAAAAGATTAAATTTGAAAGTCAATAATTTTTGTGGTCATAAAAATTAAATTTGAAGGTCAAGAATTTTTGTGGTCATAATTTTGTTTTATGTTTTTAATTATAATGACTCATATTAAGAAATATGTTTGATTATTTATTTTTGTTAGTTTTTTTTTTATATTTTAGTTTTTCTTTTTCAGAAACAAATTAGCACTTCTAGAAACTCTAGTAATACCACGCCACGTGTCTTAAATGATTCATCTCATAGTTTTTCAACAAATTGTTAATGTTAGTTCTCAACTACCAATACTTTATTCAAGAAAAAAGATGAGTATATTAATGTTTATAAGAATTTATCTAATAAAATACAAATTCTTTATTTTATTATGAGAAAAATAGATCGTTGAGATTTTAAAAATAGTAAAGTCATTAAAAATAAAAATTTGAGTACCCAACATTGATTATTTATTTTGAAATTTAACATGAAGGGTTGGAAGATGAAAAATATAAAGAAATATTATCATAAAGTTAGATGGGGACTATCAAAAATTAAAAAATATATATTTTTATAAGTAAAATTAAAGATCTTAAGTATTAGGATGCTAAAAAATAAGTCAATACTAAGTTTGATAAAATAATGAGTACTATTAAGCAAGTAGCAAAATGTGTCCTTGAGAAATAAAAAAAATATTTTAAATAAAAAAAATTGGTGGTAGAAGAATAATGTGAAAGAAAAATAAGAAAGGAGAAGTTTTGTTATAAAAATTTGTTTAGATATAAAAGTTAGGAGAATTAGGAAATATATATGGTGATTTATAAGGAATTAAAAAGAATAGTTTGTAATGCTAAGAATTATGTTTCTAATGATCTTTAGAATAAATTAGATACTAAAGATGATGAAGATATATATCTAAACTAATGAAATAAAGAGATAAGAAAAATAAAATTTTAGTTTAAGTTAAATGTATTAAAGATGAAAATTAAAAAATATTTTCTGAGGTGAGGATATTCAATATAGGTAAGTGAGATAATTTGATGAAATGTTCAATGAAAATTGGGAAAATATGATCAAAATAAATGATCTTAATATCATAAATAATAATAAAAAAAATTATTTGATTCGTAACATTAGTAAAACAGAAGTTTATGAGACTTTAAAGAAAATGAAGTGCGAAAAAGTAATAGGATCTGAAAATATTCTGATAAAAATGTGGAAATATTTTGGAAATATGCAAATTTGTTGGCTTTCTAAACTTTTTAATATTATTTTAAAAACAAAAATGACATTTGATAAGTGGAGAAATAGTCTTTTGGTCCTTTTTTTTTAAAATGACGTTCTAGATTTGTCTTAAAATAAGTGTAGATCTACAATCCTGGACTCACAAAAAAGTTTGGGGCGCACACCCTCTCTAGATTGCATAAGAAAAATTACATAAATCTAACACCAAACTCGTTGCATTGCTTCACACTATTTGCACACACCACAACGAGAAACACAAAGCTTAAAGTCTCAAATGGTTGAAGTTCATTGAAAGTGGCTGGGCGTTGCTCCCGAGTACAGGGTTTCCCAACGCTCGAGTGCAGGGAGCGATCTTGGGCACCGCCAAGCCCATTATAATGCTGCATTTTCATGCAATCGGGTTCTATGGAGGCATTCTTTTGGGCCCTGGGCACCCTCACTGGTGATGGGTCACCCAACCATGTTTTGGGTCTTCTGCTCTCAGCCTGTTGTCAAGCGTAGGGCACCACCCGAGTGCTTATCCTTGTCAATTAGGCTCCACACATAACAATCTCCCACTTTGGGACTGATTTTGCAATTAATTCCTCTCTAGATTTGCACTACCTTCATAGTCATGTATTATAGTCTAGATAACCCTCTGGTTTCAACCTTTCTAAATTTCAGTTAAAGCCAAAATAGCTTCAATTTCTCGATTGTCACCACATTTGTTAACATATTTTCATGATTATGAGTTGTCCTAGCATGAAAAGTGTCATTATTAGCTAGATGAATAAACTCATAATGTTACTATGAAGCTTTCCAATCTATTATATCTTACTTGGTTTTGTCATAAAGCCCTGCAACTAAACCATCTCCTTGCTTGTTTTAGTGATAGCAATGTACTCATCGTCTGAGCTGAAAGTGTAACAATCATCTCCAGTCTGGAAACCCAACAACTCATAGCTTTGTTTTTCCCAAAATGAAGATATAACCTATTTTACTTTTTGTGCCATCAGTACCTCATGCTGCATCTAAATCTACATATCATTGTAGATTAATTCCTGCTCGTCTGAAACAAAGTGCCTTGTTGACTTTTTCTCTAAAGTATCTAAGAATCCACTTCACCACGTCTCAATGATATTTTCTAGATTAGTCATTTACCTACTAACAACTCCCACTATATGTGCAATATCTGGTCTAATACATATCACCATATACATCAAATTTGTAACAGTTGAAGAAGAGGAAGTTCTTTTCATATGTGTTTGCTCTGTTTTAGACTCGGGAAATTATTCCTCAGATAGCTTAAAGTGACTATCTAAATTGTTTTGTTTCACTTATAT